AACAAAAAATAAATAAATGCTTATATAGAATAAAAGACCTGAGATTAATACATAGTACTTAATGTCATTAATATATCAATCATTCTTACCAACATTTTCTCATCAGTCAATTTAGGTCTTCAATCAGGTAATTATTAAACATCATTTCCTACCCTACTAGTTTAACCTTAATGATGCTGTCCACTCACACCAAAAATGATGCTGTCCATGCTGTTCACTCAAGATACTAGGAGTCAAGAGGCTAGGGAAAGAGCTTAGTATAATAAGGGCTTGCCTGGCAAGCACAAGGTCCAGAGTTCAATCCACAGTACCACACACACACACAAAAAAAAAAAAGCTATTGGGGGGCTGGAGAGATAGCCCAGTAAAATGAGCACTTGCCTGGCAAGTGCAAGGGCCTGAGTTCAATCCCCATTCCGGGGGAAAAAATAGCTATTAGTCACAATGGATACAGATAATAGGACAACAGAGTACAAGTGGGCTTTGGAGGAAAGGGCACCAGCACAAAAATGAGTTGTAGAGAAGTAATCCCCAAAAAAACCTGTGTAAAAACCCCTCACAGGTCCTAGGCCAGTGATGGTAAACCTTTTAGAGCTTTCAATGATAACAGCCCACTGCAGATGTGTGCTACAGGTTCACCACCACGGTGCTAACTCAAATTGGCATGTTGAAAAATAGAATGGGGGACAGGGATAGAAAAAAGTTGAGTCAAAAATCCAGCAGCTACAGCAAGAGAAACCATGTTTACAGCCAAAGAGGGTGAATGAAAACCATCAGCTTTCAGATGAAACCACAAAAAAGCTATAGCCCAGGATACATATCATCATCAAGATAATCTACCTATAAATTAACTGTCTCCAAACACTAAATACTGTATTATTCACAAAATAATCTTCAGCCTCAAAAAATATTAATTATTACAATATCTAGTAAACATTAGATATGCAGAGAATTTTTAAAAAGTGACTAACATTCAAGATATAATAAAATGCTCATAGAAAAAGATAATAGAATAAGCAAAGACTTAAAACAATACCACGGTAAAATAAAGATGAGAGACAATGAGTGATGAAGTATTTGGAAAACTTAAAATCTATTTTTTTTTAAATAATCCAACTATTATTACTCGTACTGCCATGTACTGTATACGCTACTAGGGCCTTACTGAAGGAATCAAAATAAACTATTAGCAAAATTAAGAGTTCTAAACTCAAAAGAAAGTTCAAAGAAAGCATTCATAGTAAGGTATACAAAGGGAAAAAATAGATCCTAAATGTGAAACATGGTCAAAAAATTCCGTAAGAGAAAATGGGACAGAAGCAATGCATGAATTGACAGCTATCTGTCAAATTGGAGTCAGATTCATAGTCTGGCCAGATAAGCTCAGTGCATTAAAGCACCTGCTTAGGCAGATATAGGAGCTGGGGTTCAACCCTTGGGACTGGCTGAGACACTGACTGAGAATGGGCATGGTTGCACATGCCTGTAAACCCAGCACTTGGGAGGCTGAAAACAGGAGAATCACTACAAGTCCGATCTGTGTAGAGACCCTGTACTAAATACAAAAAAAAAAAAAAAAAAGATTTGATTCAACTCAGGGAACTGCAGTATGCACATAAATAAAAACTACACCTGGGTACATCAAATTTAGTAGTCAGAAAACAGTTTTCATAGAAATAACAATGAGCTGACTTTTCAACTGAAACTATAGAGCAGACAAAATTTAAAAAACCACATGTAGCAACACACACCTATAACTGCAGCACTCAGGAGGCTAAAGCAGATCACTGAGAGTTCAAGGCCACCCTGGGCTATATAAGCAAGTCCAAGAACAATCTGGACCCTGCCTAAATAAAGACAACAGAATGTCATCTCAGTGCTGAAAGAAAAACTTTCATCCTAGAATTTACTGTATAGGAAAAATATCCTTCCAAAATGAAAGAAAAATAAAGAGTCCTAAACAGACACACTAACACATTCAATTCCCCAACCCTCCCTCAAAATGGATTCAAAATAAGAATACAAAGAAAAGTATTATGCCTGGAGGATAAAGATCCCAGATGGGAGTGTGGACAGAAAAAAAATAAAGCAAACCTCAGAAATATACAAATGACACCAGGCGAGCCCTGCCCCCAGGGTGCACTGAGACAGCAATTGAGACTGGGCAAAGTGACACATGCCTGTAATCCCAGCTCTTGGGAGGCTGTAAACAGTTGGATCACTACAAGTCCAATCTAGTAGTGAGACCCTGAATACTCTGTAGACCCTTCCCAAAAATAAAATGAAAAAATAAATGATTAAGTATATATAGGATCATTAACAGTTTGCGGGGTTTTAAAACAATAATGGATCCAATCACAGCACTGGGTATGTGTAGTATGTGAGATTAGGTACACCCATAAAAAATATTAAAAAGTTATGGCTAGCCAACAGCTCAGTGGACTAAAGTGCCTGCTTTGGCAGAGCACAGCGGCTGGGGAATTGATTCAGCAGGGCCTGAGGTGACTGAGACTGGG